CGGGTCTTGCAGTACCCGCCCCGCCCCATTGCCATGCCTAGCGAATACAGAGCGAGAAGCAGGCTAAATGTAGAATAACTAATGTTTCAAGTATAACACCCAAACATCGGGTGGTACATACGTTATAACTCCCCCAAGTCTTTGAAATACATACAAGTTTATACACTTGGAAAATTCCGCCCCGTAGGTCATTTGATCAGATTTTAATAAAGTAATGGTGTTGATAGCCTTACTCAGCCACCAGGCCACTCTCCCGGTAATATCAAGTTTTAGGCACCGCGGGGCCCTGGGTGCTTCACCCCCAAATATTCGAGTATTGAGGACACACGCCCGATCCCTAGGTATATATCCCACCCTACATAACCGCGTTTTGAGGACACACAACCAGTCCTTGGATACTCCACCCGACATAACCGAGTTTTGAGGACACACGCCCGATCCCTGGATACTCCACCCGACATAACCGAGTTTTGAAGACACACAGCCGGTCCCTGGGTACTCCACCCTAACCTATGATCTACCACATATCATACTAAATAGGGTCTATATCGTATCATCGCTAATGACTAATCCATGTCTTAATATTTAATTATCATATATCAAGCCTTAGCATTTAAATGTCATATCACATGCAATTCCATGCAAGATATACATATATAGGATGGCCGAGATTAATCCCACGTCGAACTAGACCCCGATGCGCGTTTCGGCAAAAACAGGCACCGGAACCCGTAGCCTAAGCGGTGCCGGTTCTCCCTTAGACCGGCGCCGGTTCACAGCATTTTCCACGAACCGGTCTAGCAGAAACCAAAATGACACCGATTCAAGGCCTGGCCGACACCAGTCAATGCCTAGGGGCCATTCGGTCAACGTCCCGTTGACTGCCCGATTCAAGTCTGATTGTTACGAAACTTAACCACAACGTGTATTAAGTCATAAACAATCATTTTATGCCATTCTGACTATTCAAAACATCACACATGTTTAAACTCTTTTAAACATCATTATGAACACATATTACATTTATTTAGGTAATCTCATACTTAACCCAAGATTTATAAGACATTAAGCCGTCCACTCACCTCGAATGAGCTTTAAGAAGTTCTACCCTCTCGGTTAAACTTCGACAAAACTCCGCCGAGCTTTGAAGAACTCCAGCGATACCCCCAGTGATTTTTTCAACTTTCGTGAATGCATTAGGAACTCCTTATACAAGTTCCTAACAAGGTTTTAACATCACAAAAATCATATCAGCACAAATAACCTCTAAAAGGTTATTTTCTGACAAACCGGTCACCTTGACTTCTAAGTGCGTTCTTGGACTTAGAACCACCTTTCAACCTTTCAACCCCTTAGTCTACACTTCTAAGCACGTAAAACAATCCTAGAGTCTCCTCATATGATTCTTAATCAATATGATATTCAAGAAAGGAAAAGAAAATATTAATGAAGTCATTACCTTAATATCTCAAGATTTTCGACACTTTTAGCTACTCAAACTTCTTCCTTGAGCTCCCTCCTCGCTTGACTTGTTATCAGCTATGGAGGAAATGTTTTGCAGAGGTTCTCTACCCTCTTTTGTGGTTCTTTGACGAAATGTGAGGAGTGGGTGAGTGAAGGGATTCCATCTTGGCTTTTCTCTCAAAAAAATGTGGGAATATGCCCCATCGTACACTTGATTGACTCATCCCATCCCCCCTTGTATCAAAGCCTCAATAAGTCATCTAGCCACCAATGGTTGACATTTGAGAGGTGAAAATTCGTGGGGTGGACCCCACTCTTGTGGGAGGTCATCCCTTTATGTCCAAATGTGTACATTCGGTCCCGAAAGTTGTATTTCTCATATTTCTTTACTTATATTTTATTATCGGGCCAAATAAAATATATATCATATTTCCAATCACTGTGTGCATTTAGAATGAATATACATTCCCCAACTGTAATTTAGAAGTCTTCTTAATTTATTACAGGTTGTTATCTGATAAAATACAAATTCGTGGGGTCATCACCAACATTCGACGAATCAGCTGATCGCGCCACATGTCCCCAACACACCTTATTGTGGTGCGTTGCATTTTATCAAACGTGGTGCACCGCGGGAGCACACCACATGCTCACTTCGGCTCCATTAACGCACATGCCTTGAGAGTATTACTGCATCATCACTCCGGATGCGAATATCACCTCGGGGATCAATGCACATACAACAAGTAAACAAATACACCTCAGATATGGACCCCCCTACTCCAAGACCGAAATAAGCCCCTCGATCGAGTAGAGCACCACAATCCGCAGTGATAGTCTCTAACCCTCCAACCTTCATAAAAGGATTCTCGCATAGGGTTGCCTTGTTCAGGGCTCGCCAATGAGATTGGATCCCTAGATCAATTCGAAGGTGGCATCTCGTCTCACTGGTTTCAAAGTTATCAATGTACAATGGCACCTCGATGTCAATATCGCACTCCTCAAAGCACACTGTCATCTCGGCTTCAAGAGCGGTGGACTGAGGGACTACGCCTCGGTTCAAATTGCAAAAAAGAAAAAATCACAGAAAATGCGACAAACACGCACAGAGGCCATCATCACCAAAGAAGGCATCACCTCTGACTACACCAACATACACGAAATAATTTAAAGCACATGATCAACATTAGATGACTTTACTCCCTTTCACTTATAGGCTTCTCAGATCAGAGAGTGGGAGACTCCTGATAGAGTATATGCGCTTGGATCCACGACCCACACACTTGGATATACAACGGCCCAATCCCATCACATTATCGTGAAGTCTCAAATAAGCCCGATCTAGAATAAAGAAATATGCACCTGACCGTACAGTCACCTCGAGGGTCATCAACTCGGTTCAGCTCATGAATAAGGACATAACTAAACCCGGGGTGCACCCCTGCACCACGAACATCATCACCTCGGTCATCGTCACCTCGACCAACAAAGAATACTTGGCTAGAAGTCAGTCAGATAATAACATGCGTCAGGATCTGCCACGCCATAGGACTCTCGCCCATAGAATGACCAACACGTGTAGTGCATTAAATGCACCGCCTCGTTTATTACTACTATACATACCCCCTCGGGTGCAATGGTAAAGGGTTTGAATATCATTAATATTAATCTCTTCCTCCCTTTAAACTTTAGCTCCTCTATCTCCATAATACCACTAGTGGTTTGTTGGGAAGTTATCACCTATCATACCCCTACCCTCCTCATTGGTAATGGTTCAGGTAGAGGAGACAGATGGGGTAAAGATACGTGTAACATGGTACGGGACGAGGGTAGGGGTAACATGCATGTAGATGGGTAGGGGGTGGGGGTGGGGGTGGGGTAGGGTAGGTGTAGGGCTATGGTTAGGGTGGGGGGTGGGGGTAACGAGGTATGGGTATGAGGACTAATGGGTATGGGGGTATGGGGTAGGGGTAGGGGTGGGGTAAGGTTAAGGGATATAATAGATAGGGGTTAATGGTTAGGGGTAATAGGGGTAACGGTACAAGGGGCCACGGGGTAGGGATAAGGGTAATGGCAAGGGTCCCCTGGGAAGTCCTCATGTTGCATCCCCTGTCCTCCCTTTACTCGCACGAGTAGCTTAGTTGGTCGAGTGGTGGGAAATTTGGATCAATGGAACAATGTTCGAATCCCCGCAGCGACCAAGGTAGAGGTTATAGAACTTGAAATAAAGCTGCACCTCTGGCACACACGAGTGTATGGCCTACTGCCACTTTGCTAACTTAGTGACCGTGACTTATTCCTTCACCATCCTGTGATTACTGACGGATCGGGGTGTGAGGGGGCTCATGGGGTGGGAGATTCCACCTTTTGTATAGAAGGGTAATGACAAAGGGTAAATGCGAATGTGTGTTTATTCATCTGGGTTTTACTAACTTCAAACTTAATTGTGTCTTTTTTTGAGGGAAAACTTAATCTTAACCTATCTTATAAAGGTCAGTTTGTGATATTAAATGTTCATGATTTGTCATAGTTAGGCCTTAAAGTGTAGTACCATGTGCTATCATAGTGTCACGTATTAACTGTCTTTCAAATTACCAACCTCACCGTCCAATTCTACAACTAACGGTGTTAAGTTGTTAACTTCCATTACTACACTTACTTGTGTTTAATTACACTTACTCTAGATATATCATCTATCTGTTATCATTTTTGTTCGACTCTTGATTTCTTCAACCGCAACATATTTTAATTTTTTTAGAGTTTAATTTTTGTGTGGATTTGTTATCTTGATTTGAATTCATTTTCCAACCAAAGCATCATACGATCCACACATCTCCGTTCAAGGTAGATTATTCATTTGTTTGATTTTTGATAGATACATTTTACTATTTTGTTCACCTTAACACATATCAATACTCATTTTGTCTACATTTATTTTGCACTTTCCAATTTTTTTTCTCCATCATTTCATGCTTAGTTTTTAAGTGTAGTGTCTCCCCTGCTATATATACGAAGTATTATTTATTCTACCAATTACTCCGTATGTTTTATTACATTATTACTACCTTGAGTTTATCTTACATTATTATTAGGGAAAATGGTCAAATAGATTGTTCTACCATTTTCAATCCTTCATTTAAGTCATTTTACTAAAAACAAAGTATCATAAAAGTAAATTTACTTTTAAAATACAATCAATCCAGCCTATTTGACTTGCTATAGCATGCAGGTTACTTTTAAAAAGTAAAGTAGGATTATTGATAAATCTTATAAAATTCATATAAATTTGAAACAATGTTACAATAATTTAAAAAATGGTAAATGGAAAGATAGATAAATAATTTAAAAACGTTAAATTAAAAAAATAAAAAATAAAAAACTTTAAAAATAACGTGAAAATGTAAAAAAAAAAATATAAAATAAAACATCTGCTTCTTATTAAATTCAATAAGAATTGTTTATCTGGCACGATGCACCATCTTAGTTATCAATATATTCAAATAATGTTTTACATTATGAAGCATAACAAAATTCAATGCAAGTATAAATTGGGCATATTACATTCGCGCAACGCGCGATCACTTTTCTAGTCTCGTGTCTTAATAAGAGCTAATAATCCTATTTTGAAATGAAATTTTCCTTGTTGTGTTTTTTCAATTACAAAACAAACGGATCCCGTCGGCGTTGGCAACGGTAACTCGCCGCAAAAGCCGTTTCATCGTCTTCAACGCGTCCGGAATGGCCGAGTCACCAACTCGAAGTCCCACCGAACCGGATACCACACCCTGTCCTTCTCCCCGACCCCAGATACCGGTAGAGATCATAAGTGACGAAGAAATGGCTCTCATCGAAGCTGCGTTATCCGCCGCATGCCCTTCCGTCTCCTGTTCGACTCAGTTGCAGAGAAGCGTCAGATCCATCCACTCAATAACTATGTTGTCAAAGCGGAAGCTTTCTGGGTGTAAGGATTCTGTCATGTCAACGGTCGGTGACATTGAGGATGGCCAGAATCGGGTCATAAGTCCCCGCAAGAAGAACCGGCTCAAAGAATCACTTTTACAACGGTTTCGGAGAAAGAGAGGCTTGGCTGTTACTGATATTACTGCCACGGTGTGGAACTTTGAATTTCTTTATTCTTTTTTGGTTCGGATTTCATGATATGGGTCTGCCCCCTTTCGGTTGAAATTTGATTTTTAGGGGATCCTGGTTTTGAAAATTAATATTAGTAATATATATTTTTTGGTTTTGTTGGAATTGTATAAATTTAGGATCTTTCGTTGTTACATATGATTATATGATACAAGGAATGGTCACAATTCTTGGAAAGTAATTACTCGCATAACACTTATTACTCCGTATAAAATTTGGAAAGATCAAAATTTTCTATTGGATTTCATCATTTCATGTTTCAGCTGTATCAGTAAGCTCTAAAACAAACACTGATAGTGTGTTCATGTTCACAAAATAATGACAGCCTATTTTATTGTCTTATATTATTATATATGATGATATGATATGATGTGCTTCTTCTATGGGGCTTACCCAGTTACACCCATTCTGTTATATTGCTGTACGTAGGAATGGTGTGAAAAACAAATGGAATATTTCATTGTGCTTGGTAGACCGGAAGCCAGCAAAGCTATGAAAGCTGGTAGCATGCGACATGCAGCTCTTGAAGAAGAGGTAACCCTTTTAGATTCAGAGTTTATGTCTGGGTTTGTGACCCTAACATAATGTTTACCAACTCTATGAGCCTTGTTTACTCTTAGTTTTGAAGCCTTAAAATAAACTTGAAGGGTGCGCTTGGATCCCATAAAATGCTAGAGAAAGAGGGGAAAATACCAAGGAAAGTTATTTCCTAATGCTTGGTTACCTCATAAAATAAAGAAAAATGAAATACTTTTTATGGTTTATTTGTTTCTATATATCTAGATTTCTTAGTCTTTAGATAATAAAGATAAATAATACGAACTTACAAAGCATGAGGAAAAAACAAGTTCGTTGAGTTTGAGGTTCAGAATGATGTTTTAATACTCCCCCCTCGATTTTTATGCCTATTTGTTTTTCCCCTGGCATTTATGGAGTTTTTAATTGACACGAAATGTCTGTTTATATAATTAATAAGTGAATACTGGTGGTAATATCAATTCCACTTGGCAGTTAGCCGTGCAGATAGCACCAAGTCTTCTGTCAAGAATCTATTTAAAATGTATGACTAACATGCAGTATATCAGTTCGAATCAAATATATTTATATAAACACAACATTAAATGTTGTTGGCAGGTGATAAAAAGAGTTAAAGTTCAAACTCAATGTATGGAAGATGTATGGGCAATTAAGTTCATGAATTTTATGGTTGGCGTCAATCAGTTGTTATTCGATGGATTGACACGGGAGTTACCCTTGTAAGTCTATCTATGGACTGTGAACATATATAATACATTCTCTTCATAGAGTAGAATAGTTGTTAATAATATCTGATGGAGGAAACATTAATTGGAAAACCAGAGTAGGCTTTGCAGAAGGTGTATGGATGGTTGGAGTGATAGATGAAATACGAATGCCCACAGAAGAAAATGAGAGATTCCCCATCATAGTTGACACTAAAACACGCTTTCGTCCTACTCTTCCTTCCGAAGCACAACGAAGGAATGGAAGGTATACAATCTCATGAATATTTAGAAGCGTCTTGCTAAATATGAGAAACAAAACTAACTTTTTATTGAGACTTTTACAATCTAACCTTTTAATCTAACCTCATAAAAGTCATAATTTCTAAAGACCGTAGTATTACAGTGTTTTTGTAAGGAAATAATGGCCGTAAACCTAAAACTAGGTCTAGGTAGCGATGACTGGCTTATTCTGTTCATCCTACTTATCATCATAATAAGTAGCTTTTAGAACCCGTTTGGTAACACTAAAATTGGTTGAATTTGATGAAGTTGCTCGAAATGGCTGAAGTAATGTCTGAAGCGGCTGAATTTGCTGAAATATGACAAAATTATACTTTTAAAATATATTTTAATAAAATAATGTATGGATTAAAGTTGAAAGTGTCTCCTTAAGCAAAATTTAGCAAGAAAAGTATCGGCAGTCTTACTTGTTTTCATTATGACACACTTCAACGCGTAGTAAAAACATTAGTATTTGGTAAATAATTAGTATCTAGAAATAGATAGGGTAGATAAGGAAAAAAAATGTTAACAAATGGGCACTAAATGATCTATTTCACTGAAAGGGATATTTCAAAACATTTCTTCATCATGACATTGGTTCAGCCAAATAACTGATGCCTTAAGGGTATCTGTTTCTATACTTTTCATCATACTTTCATGGATCGATTCATGTTAGCCGACCCCAAAATTTTTTGAGAATAAGGCTTGGATGTTGTTGTAATATAAAGCATATCTATAATATTCCTTTCAACTGAAAGTTATTAGGAAGATATTAATCCTTCTTGTTTTAGATATTAGAATTAGTGTTGGTTGTGTTAGAATATGATCTCTCTCATGAAAACTAACTGATGAACTGAAACTTCGCATATGGTGTACAGGCTTCAACTGATGTGCTACAAGCAGATTTGGGACAACTTAGTTGCTGATAAATTTCCTATCGGCCAGTTCTTTGATTTCTTTTCATTGAATCCCAACTGTATTTTATCTGATGAAATCCGAGCGAGTACATCCGGATCAGGTTTTCCAGCAGAGGTAAATAAACAGAATCACTTGTAAGAAATAAGGCAGCATTTGGTAAGCCATAATGGGATTGAATGTAATCAACTACACGAGTAATGTAATTTACACATAAAACATAACATCATGTTCCATTATTACGCTGATCTGACTGTTACCTTAGGTCACCATCTCAATGTGTGTTCTTTATCTCTTTCTCCCTCCTTACAGACCCTCAGTGAAGTGATGGGGTATTTTCGGAATACTTGTTCTATGCTTCCACAAGCACATAACCGTCTTTTGTTGAGGTTAGTAGTGGTGTCTTGTTTAGTCCATAGCTAACGTCATTCAAGTAGCAGTTTGAAAAACATCTGTTTTATGGTTTTACCATATGATGATCGATTATATTTCAAGGTACGAATTGCAAGAGGATGAATCATTGCTAGGTGAAGATGAGTTTGAACATGATTCAGATTGGGTCAATGGTCAAATAAAGTCTTGTTTAGAATTTTGGAGAGGAGATCGTGAAGCTAGTTTTACTCCAATGGAGGAGCGCTGGAAATGCAGGAGTTGCAAGTTTGCTTCTGTGTGCCCTTCTACTTCTCCAACCTCTTTATAAGAAGCGCAGAAAGAAAAGAAAAAGACATGGGTGACTTGGAACAACTGTTCCCTTCAAAAATAATCATCAGGAGAAGCTGATTTTTAGAGGTTTCTTCATATTGATCACAAGTCAATTTATATATGCTTCATAGTCAGAAGCTTTATCATCATGGAGCATAAAACTGGTTGTTGTGACTTGTAATTTATTGAAATGGACGTTTTCTTATCATTATTATCTTGCTTGTATATAATGATTCTTTTCCAAACAAATAGTTGTAAAAGCTTTTGAGAAATGATAAAAACATACTAGTATTACTTTGGATGCCACTTTTGATACCCACTGTCACTTTTACCCTTACAGGTGCATGCATATGCAGGTATGATTGACCTCATGTTTGTGAGTAAGAAAAAGAATTGGGGTTGGTTCTTGGGTCAGTTTTGGACGGCTTTCTTAGCCTTTTTAAAAACTGAAACTGGTTCGGTCCTGTCTTGGAGCAATCCAAACCGGTTTGAATTGATTTCCGGTATGGTCTTTGGGTAAAAAAGGTCTTCGAGAATCATATTTGTGATTTGTGAGTGTTTTACACGTGTCTCTATGAAAAAAATAAATGTAATTTTAATTTGATATCTAAGGATGTTATTACTTGGACTGTTTTTAGTCCATAACATAGCAAACCGAACTTAAATAGACTAGACTGCACTTCAACAAATTAGACTCATCTGTGGTCAATAAAATGGTGTATAATAAAATTTAGCGAGTGAAATGAAAGAGGACGATAAAATGTTGTTAATTAAATTCATTTATTCATTAACTATAAATGTGATAGTTAGTATTGCGGAAAAAATAAAACAGGTCATATATTTTTGGAACTGAAAAGATCATGAGTAATATAAGTGTCAGTATATTTCTAAAACATCCATGATTTTAATAGACTTGTACAAAAATATGATTAACCCGTTGAATATTTTGTTGCCCATGAGTGTGGCGGGCTTCACCTTACACGAAATAAATGAGCCAAATAAAATATCTGTACTTGCCCATAAGTGTGGGCTGAGTAGTCCAATGAGCAGCTTGAAGTTGTTATGTCAGAAATTAAAATTTTGCTTTCATAAAAAATATTGTATGAGGTATATTATAATATTCTAAAAACATTTATAATATTAATAAAACCCAAACATAGATATACATATATAGAGAAAAGATCAGGTCCCTCCGGAGGGACGGGAGGGACCGTCCGGCCAAGGCCATCAGAGGTCCTTCCCGGTAGAATTTTTTGATGAAATTTTTTGAGCATGTTCCTCATCAAGTCTAGTTTATCCATACCAAATTTCAGTTAAAATTCAACCGGGAAGGCACTCAAATGTTTTTTGGAAGATAACTGCGTTTTATATGTGATGGATAGTCTACCCGGGGGGTATCTTATCCGAGGGGTTATTGCGGGAATAACCTAGAGAGAAGTCAGAGTAAATAGGAGGAGAGAGAGTCGATTTATTAAATGAACTCCGCGTGGTTTACAAGGAGAATAAGGGCTGCTATTTATAGCAGCAATAAATGCGATGAGAGGACACGTGTCAGTAATCCAACGGCCGAAGGGTCACATCAGCCTAGTGGCACCGGCAGTGGTACGTCAACCGCATTGAATGCGGTTGGCGGATGCGACGTGGCATTAAATGCGGTGGTTGGCTGTCTCTAAAAGGAATCTTCGATGATTGAGCTTGTTCAGCCGAAGGCTCCTCGTGTAGTCGAGGGCTCCCTGTGTAGCCGAGGGCTCATTGTGTAGCCGAGGGCTCCTTGTGTAGCCGGGGGCTCCTCTTGTAGCCGAAGGCTTGGTTCAGCCGAAGGCTTCCCCTGGTGGTGAGGGCATGAGAATGCCGAAGGCTCATGTCTCCGCCCGTTTTCTCCCAGCAGCTTCTTATGCCAAAGAAGGCTACCCTGCGAGTTTTGAAGCCTTCGGCCAAGGAGGCCGAAGGCACCCCAGTGTGTATTCTGGGCCACTTTGAGGCTTGGGCCGTTGTATTTGGGCCTGAGTTGTTTCCTGAGCTCAATGGACTCGTGTAGGAGAAATAGGAGTCTATGGGCCGGGGGTTCCTGGGCCATATACTCCATCAATATGTATATAAACTGCGCAGTTAACTTCCAAAAATCATTTGACTGCCTTCCCGATTGAATTTTTAGTTGAAATTTGGTATGGATAAACTAGACTTCATGAAGACCATGCTAAAAAAATTTCATCGAAAAATTCCACCGGGAAGGGCCCAAATGGTGAAGGCCGGACGGCGGGTCCTGTCCCTCCGGCTGGACAGGATCAGCTCTCTACATATATATACATCATAATATTTAAAAGCATATTATAATTTTTTTAATTATTACTCCGTATTTAAATGTTGTTTGTGCCTTTGTGACCCATTATTTCAGGTTTAATTTTCAATCTGAAATAATATGATTTAAAATTAAAAGAAGTCTCATTCATACTATCCCTATGGCCGGAAGATTCTCTAATACTTCGGGACAAATACTCAAAAAATGAATTGAAAAAACAATTTAAATTTGAATCAATGCCAGAAATATGATTTTTTTTTAAAGAAAAAACACCCCACTATATTAAAAGATCATTCGTCGAATGGTTTACAATGAAGTTAGAAAGAAAAGACAAACTAACTTCATTACCAGTCATAAAAACAGCAGCTCTAGCAATACAATGAGCTACCTCATTCGCGGGCCGTCTACACCACACAATTTTAAAATTGTCCTTACTTTTTAAAATGCTAGAAATACGATAATAATCTATTTTCAATCATTAAAAAAACCATTGATGCCACACACTCCTAAATTCTCAAACATTCTGATCAAAACACCTTTATGGCATAAAGAAAGAGTCCTGTTTCCTGCTGCCGCCAACAAGCGCATTGGCGTTATGGCGTAGATAAACAACTGGTGTGGAAAACAGAAGGAAAGAGCGGACGTTTCAAAACCCGTTAGTCCCAGATTATCAGACTAGAGCACTCACACAGTAGGACGCGAACGCTGTGACTGAGGCATTGCGGTAACCAGGAAGAAACAGCCTCAATTCGCTCAAACTTGCCGATTACGGTCCAAACAACACCTCCGTCTGTTTCCCATTCTTTGTAAGTCTTAGCATCATATTTCTATGCGTTTATACGTAATTACATATATGTGTGTATGTATATTTGGGAATTTCATACGAATTTTGTTGGGAAAAATAAATAATATACTACCAACTTTCTTGGTGTGAGCTTCCCATCCAGATTCCAGAACATGTACTAGTTTAAAAAATACCCCCAACTTTATTTTTTTGTACCATATTTTAATTAACAAATAATATTTCTCAAATTGGAATATGTTAATTAGATTTAGTTGGCAAAAAAAGATGCATGATTTCCAAAAAAAATGTGTGCTTTCTCAGATGGTTTGGTAGGATATGGGGCATAAGCATCTCAATTTTACAAAGTAGGAGATATTTATACAATGTTGACAAGTTTAGGGTAGGGGTAGCACACCTATGCAAAGTTTGGGGTATTTTATTTATTTTACCCAATTTTGTTTTGTTTCTCATTTTAAGTTGATTGAATTCGACTTTTATTGAATCAGTTATACTCATTCTGTCCCTTATAACCTTGACAAAGTTGAAAGTTGACTGGCAATAATAAAGAGGTTTGTTCAATGGAGATATAAATAATAAAAATCACAAACTCATTACTTAAAAGGGTAAGGAAAAGTGGTAAAGTTATTGGGACAACCAAAAGAGTAAATTTGGGAAATTTATAAGGGATGGAGAGAGTAATTTGTAAAGGAATTGACTTGTTATTGGCCATTTACTTTTTCAAGCTGCAGAACAGTGAGAACACCATCCAGTAGTCATCAGTGAGGTGTTAAACATGGATTCATTAGGCGACCTCAAGGTAATCAGATACGGTTGAGCATCTTACTCTTTTGGAGCAGTCTATATTATTTTTATTGATGTTTTTGTTAATTGCGGCGTGGGTTTTAAAATCATTGTATATTTATGATTTTGACCCCCAGCCGTATAATGGCGCTTAACGTGTAGCAAAACAGAAACAATTTAGGTTGGATTACAGCATCACTTAGCATAGTATGCTTTATTATATGTTGAGTTTGAGGGGTGTGGAGGGGACTCCCTTTGTTGGAAAGAAAACAATATTTTTGAAGAAGACAGGCTTTTTTGAATAAACTTATCCCTTTCACTTATCTCATAATGTCCGCTCCAATATTCAAGGGATTTAGTTGGGAGAGATGCTATATTGGTATCTAACTGAGACTAAATTACTTTACTTGCGTTAAAAACTTATTGTTATTTTCTTGGTGTGCTGCATCATACATCTTTGCGCACTCTGCACACGTCAACATTTCTTCTATTAGTTCTGAATAAATAATAATTTATAATTGCTCATTTTTTATATTAAATTTAAATTATTCATATCAATAGGACATATATTAATGGCAAATTAAATACATTTGTAAAAACATATTATAATCTTTTTACCTATTTGATTACAATTTTCCCTCTACTTGTAAACATATATGCACAAGAAAGTATATTTATTACTCTGTATTACTTTTCTCCCCTCCCCTTCTAAACCAAACAAGTTCGCATTGGAATCTCTCCACACATAATATATCCAAACATGGAAAATTTAATATCTACCCATTCCCTCCCATTCTATCCATTAAACCCATCACCTCTGCAGAACGTGACAATGTTAATGTTGCATATGTTCATGGAAACAAATTTATTCACAATATGAAACCTATTATATTTTCCACTTCTGTAAAGGAGGTATGAATCACATAATTTTCACTGGTAGTTGTGTAAGTGAGATGTAATGGTATTGCTTCATCTTTTCATTCAAACATAGTTTTCTCTTATGGAGCACATGGCACCTCCCACCCTTATCTTTTGCCTCTTCCCTTTGGAAGAATAGATATTTAAGAAAGTTCATTTTACTTCATTATGGCTGGGCTTGCAAATTGTTTTAAAAATGAACAGTTTGTATCGTTCCCGTTTTGTAATAGAGTTTCACGACCTTCTTTTCTGATGCCTTTTCAATTGCATCTATCTTGTTTATCTTCTTTGTGCAATACTTGAGGTCAAACATTTTGTACTGAGAATTCAAACCGCACCATCTTTTCTAATGCCTTTTCAATTGCTTCTTTCTTCTTTATCTTCTTTGTGCAACACTTGAGGTCGAACATTTTGTATTAAGAATTCAAACCATGGGTGTGTGCTCTGACTTAATTGATATCCCTCTTGGTATGATGGGTTTTCACTTTCATGATTACTTTTTTAGTTTTCTC